CTTTAAAATTCTGTTTAAGTTCACTAAAAAACTACTTGTTTGTGAAATTCTCTTATAAGCTCACTGCATCCACATGGAATAGATAAACTAATTAGGCAGCTAATGGATATAGGTAGTGTTAAAAAAATACAATGAGACAGGTGAAAATGCTAGGAGTCAAGGAAAAAAAGTCAGTAAGGAAAATGAAGAGAGCTCAGCTTCATGAATTTTGCGTAACCTTTATTGTGGTTGAAAACATAGGCTCCACAAGAACGAAAAAAAAAAAAAAAAAAAAAAAAACCCAAAACCTGAGTTGTTATCAAAGAGCAGAATTTCTCAGCTCATCAAATCAAAGAGATGTGGTGGAACAAATCAAATAGAATGAACAGTGAGAAAGGGTCAACAATCAAAATAAGCCAAATCTCAGAAAAGCATGTCAAGAGTTACATGGAGACGGTTACTTTGGGAACTTGTAAATTCCTGTTAGGACAAATAAGGCTCATTCTTGTTATCCTCACAGGCCATAGGCTATACAAAGGGTATTTGAAACTGACATTCCTAATGGAAATTTTATAAAATTTGGCCCTTAGAATAACTGAGAAATATCCTGAAAAAATCTTCCCTGAAACTGTAAAAAAGAAAGTTGCTTAGCTACTGATAAAATCGACAACTCAGTAAACTATTTCCGCTGGTCTTCCTACATAAGAAAAAAGCACAAATATAGTTGCCTCAGAGATCTCTGAAAAGTAGAGGACCTCGCAGTAAAAGAGTATAAAGAGTTTAGAAACGGGAGAGCCAGAGAAAACCTCTCTCCAAAGTGTCCACGGACATACTCACGCCCGTTAGGAGAAAAAGCGAGAATATGCGTGTCATCAGTCATACCAGAATAAAAAAGTTAAGTGATAGAGCATATTTAAATTGAATGACTACGTTAAAATAGAGCAAGTTATTTACTGTATGTCCCAGATTCCTTGGGCAAAACTCACTTAAATTCCAAAGGGAAAACAAATGTCCAGTTTTGTACCATTCCAGTATCAAGATGATCTGGGTTTCAGTTTCCCAAAGAAAAGTCTTGCCTTTTGAGTCTTTTTTTCCTCTCTCAAAAAAAAAAAAAAAAACAAAGAAAAACAACAACAAAACCCCCTAAATCACCCAGACTGCTACATGCATGCAAATTTAAATCACTTCCCCTTCATTAACATTAAAAAGCTTCTCTGCCCCAAAAAGCGGCAATGATTTTTTTTCTAGCTAAAGGATAATCATTCTACAAATAATTTGCCCAGAGACTGTAGTCATTCATAACATATATAATATTTGCAAAGCACAGTTTAAGTACACTGCCTTTTATTAGCATTTTTCTTTAATAAAAAGGATGCATATCAGAGTGTAAGAGCTGGAAATTATTTCCACGGCTTAAAGAATTAATAAGAGAAATGCTGGTTAAATTTCTTAAAGATGAAAATCTTGCCAAAATGCAGTCAAAGTCTGTCAACTAGCTATAAACAGCAGGACACCCAACTGGCTAGGCTGCCTTGCACACAACGCCCACACCCGCCCCCAGGATACCATTTTAAGATATTCTGTCAATGCTCAGTTAAAAATAAGACTTACTTCAGAGACAGAAAAAAAAAAAAGCAATTAAACTTTTATTGAAGTTTATCCAGTGGCAAGAATACCGTGTGTATTATATTATGTTTTAGACATTCAATAAAGAATTCATTAGTGACTTTCACAATGCATTCAGCAAAACAGCCTTAAATATTGTTAAAAGCGCATTCAAGCGCCTGTCCTGAGTTCTAACAGGTCTTTTATTTTGATCGCCAACCAACTACTTTTCTCTTATTTTCCTACCAAGAACTTCGGCCACATAGCTTTAAAAAAAAAAAAAAATCACCACTGTATTTCCATTCTGAGGCCAAATTATTACATGTTGCTAATTTATCTTAAAAAGTGTCTATCTTACCACAGAAAATGCCCAGGATTCATCTATTAAAACATAAAGTACATGCAATTTTTAGGATCTCAAAATACATAGAATCAGCCTTATCAGTGGATTTGTTAAGTTTTAGAAGTGCAGCGCAGGGCTGCCACGTAAAATCACCAGCCAGCAAGTGGTCAGCTGTAAGCCGCCAGTCCAATTACTCGTGGCTGAAATAAATGTACCACCAATGACTATGTTAGTCTATCAATTGGGGGAGGGGTGAGAATCAGGTAAACAACTCCAGAAATCCAGTTCTAAATCGAGAACCTTGTTAACGCCATCAGCCCTTTCTTTTCCCAAGTGTCCTACTGCGCGCTGATGGCTCGTGGAAAGAAAAAGCCACAGAGAAGAAACCTGTCTGTCCATCTGCAGCAACAGCTCGCTGGCTTCGCGTCCCAGGGTGGGGGCTGGGGTAGAGGCTCGCCCTGAGCGGAGGAGGGGGGAGGAGAAGGGGGAGGGAGGGGCGCCGGGGAGGGAGGGGAGGCAGGAAGGGCGAGGGGCCCCTTTGGCCTAGCAGCTCGGGTTACTGTGCCAAATCTCAGGAAAAATGGAAGGCCAAATCTTGGTAAATCAGTTCAGTAGGTTAAAGAGTCGTGGTGTTTTGCACCGAGTTTCAATTAGCCACTGAAGACCTCCTCAAACGGTAGGCGCCGCAGCTCCCGGGGGCCTCCCCGCCGCGTCCCCGTCTCCCTCCGCACAGTCCCCAGGGAAAGAGGCGGCCAAGGCACCGAAGCGGGGGGGGGACGGGCCGGGGCGCGCGGCCCCCGCTGCCCCGCGCGAGGGCTGGGGACGGGTGGCGGGGGACCTGCACTGGCTGGACAAACGGTCACAAGGGACAGCGCGCGCGCGCGCGCGCGGGACGGATCCCGTCCGCGCCGCCGCCACCATCCGAGTGCCAAAGAGGCAGCGGGAGAAAACGATTAAGATGCGTGCGGAGCCACTGTGGTCGCAGCGGCCCGCGGGGAGGCCGACTCCGGGCGGCCCCAGAGCTCGCTCTCGAGGAAGGCGCGGTGAGGGCCCGGGGTGAGCGGGTGCGGCAGGCGCCTCCTCCCGGGGTTTGCTTTCTTCCTCCCACCCCGCGGGCGGGACCCGGCCACCAGCACGGGTGTCCCCACGCGCCTCCAGATCTGCAGCGGGATGCGCCTGGGCGCAGGCGGCGGTGGGGCGAGGAGGGCCAGGCAGGGGTCTCGAGGCGCTGCTCTTGGCCGCAGCAGTGGCCCAGCGCCCTCAGGTCCCCTTCGTCCCTGCACACCCAGTAGCAACTAAGCCAGCACGGGCACCCTGAAGGCAGCGGCTCGGATCGCCCCAGTGGCCTGCGCCGCCTTCCTCCGTCCCTAAGCAGGGCCACAGCTCCAAGGTCGCTGGACACCGGGAGGAGATCGACATCCACAACTTCTCTCCTGTCCTCCCCCGCTCTCCCTGTCATCGCTAGAGGTCAACAGCGGTGGCGGGGTTCTCCACCAGCACCTACCTCTGCGCACACGCAGAGATGCAGCGTTTAAAAAAAAAAAAAAAATTCAAAACCAGAAACGGCTGTTCCCACCCTCCGAAGGGGAGTGGCAGGCATCCGAGCGCCGCAGAGCTCGCTGCCCTAGGGCGGCTGTCACCGCGACGCACAACCGGTCCGCGGACCCACGCTGAGAACGCACGTCCCCCCAGGGAGCTCGGGCCCCGGGGCCGCCAGAACCCGCAATCAGGTCCTTTCCGGATCCGCCTCTCCCGGAGCCTGCCGCGCCGCCCGCCTGCCGGGGTGGGTGGAAGGAGGGAGGGGAGGGGGTGAGAAAGGAAATGAAGGGGGGAGGTGGAAAGGGAAGGCAGCGAGAAAATACTCTTCCCCTGTCTTTCACAACTCACGGGAGGAAGAGGAAAAAGAAATCTGCCGACCAATTGAACACTTCACAGCCTAACCTCTAAATGCAGAATTCTCTTCTGCCAGCCTCATCCGCGCACACAACAGCCTCATCACCGAATGCGCTGCGACAACAGGACCTCCAGTTTGACTTCCAGAGAGATCATGGGCGATGCGAGCTTCTATCAGTTCCAGCTGATTTATTAAAAATTGTCAAGATACAGACTTCCAGCACAAAAAAAAAAAAAAAAAAAAAAAAACCCAAAAACAAACCAGGCAATGATGTCGGCAGCGCATTGAGTCTGCTCTGCCCACCACTTGCTACTAAATACGCAGATGGTCTGTATTTTATTTAGATTATATTGCACAAAATGAGAAACTTTTAAAACTATGTGCCTTTTTTTTTTCTTTTTTTGCTAAAAATCGAGAATCCAGTTTCAAACCTTCCATCTGGGGCCCCATCCACATATCACAGCGTATGAGATACATAAAGTCCTACAATATAATACAGTACATATACAATCTTTAAACTAAGATAACAGCTCTGAGGTCTATATCACCATTTGCAATAAATCTTTACCTACAAATATTGAACAAATCTCTACTATAGCTGTACAAAAAAAAGTTTGCTTTTTTTTTAAACCACAAGGCCTTTAGATGCAAGGATTACTTTAAAATTTTAATCCTTTTTAAACCAGGACATAACGTACCAACATACTTGCATGCTAAAAATAAAAAAAATTTAAAAAAAGAGGAAAAAAAAAAAAAGAAATCAAAAGGGAAGAAGTGCCTGAAAGTCTTACTGAAAAAACACAGCAAGAATGTTCCCTTTTCACTGTACAAAAATACGCCTGAAAATATATTAATTTTTAAAAAAGACTGAGGTCTGTATGTATCAAAAATGTTTCAATACCTTTTGTACTGAGGTCTAGGCTGTCTGGTATTCAATCAAAGAGGTATAAGGGAACAAGTTACAAAAAAAAAAGTTGGCAAGTAGAAATCACATTTGTAAAACCATAAACAATTTGATCTGAAAAGTAAACTCTGATCTTAAGTCAGTTCACAGTTTTTTTTTGTGTAAGCGTTTGTACAGTCTGCATTTTTTCAAGCTCCCTGCAGTTTTGTTAAGAATCGGATGCATAGAAGACATCAGTTTTCTCCCTCCAAAAAAATAAAATAAAATAAAAAAGTTGCAATGGTCCCTTTTTCTGTTTTTGTTTCTTAAAAAAATCACCAGTTCTTTAAGATCTCTTAAGAAAAAAAAATCTCCACCAACTCCCTAGAGTAACAGTTGTGCTGCCAAAAGGGTCCTAGGGTCCTCTGTAGACGTCTTCCAGACTTCAAAGACAGACAAGCTTCAAACAGCGCCTTCGGGAGCGGGTCCTCCCTCCCCTCCCCCTCCCGGTCCCCTCTGCCTTTGTTGCAATCACGAATTTCAGGAAAAAGAAACAGCAATTACAAAACACATTTTGGGGGGGAAAAAAAAATCACAACTTCAGACTAGGTATGCAACTACCTTGAGACACGATTAAGGGGGGAGGACAAAAAAAAAAGAGGACAGGAAAAAATTAAAAACTACTCATTCCACTTTAACTCCACCAAAAATTTCATCTTTTCCAATTTCTTTGCGTCACATCTTATCAATATTATCAAGCATTTTCTTCTCTCCCTCCACCCTACCACCACCACCATCAACACCACCATCATCATCATCAGCCTGACCACCACGACTTCCTCCCAAGGAGCCCTGCTCTGCACCCGCCGAGAGAAAGAGCGAGAAGCGGGGCGCCCCTTTCAATACGTGAACACCAGGTCGGAGAAGTTCGCCTCCAGCCAGTCCCCCGCAATCATCTCGCTCAGCTCCGGCGTGCAGTAGTCGGGGAACTCGAAGTGGGAGCCCAGGCTGCCCTCGCTGAACGAATCCAAATCCTTATCCACCAGCGACAGGGACAGGTTCCCGGCCGCCGCGCCGCCCCCCAGCTGCTGCTCGCTGGCGCTGTGCGCGCTTTGGGAGAAATTCAAGCTCAGGTCGAACATCAGGTCGTCTGCGTCCTCGCCGCCGCTGCTGCTGCTGCTGCTGCTGCCACTGCTGCTGCTGCTGGACGAGGTGGACACGGACCGCGAGGACCCGGGCGACAGCGCGGGCTGCGCGAGCGGTGGTGGATGCTGCTTGGTGATGTTCTTGAAGCTGTAGTAGAGACGGCTGCCGCCCCCGGCGCCCGAGGTCGCGCCGGCCCGCACCTCTTCGTAGAGGCTTGCGCCCTCGGGGGACTCGGCCGAGCTGCTCAGCGTGGGGCTGGCAGGCACTTTGGCGACGTTGTAGCGTCTCAGTAGCTGTGGCGGCTGCTGCCCCGGTGGCTGCAGGAGCTGCTGGTGCGGCGGCTCCTCGTCCTCGTCGTCTGCCTCCTGCTTGATCCTCAGCTGCAGCTCGTCGTCGTCTTCGTCGTCCTCGTCGTCCTCATCTAGAAATACGCACTTGACGGTCTTGCCCGCGCCGCCGCCGGCCGCGCCGCTCACGCGCAGGCTGCCGAGCACGTAGTCGTCGCCCGCGCCGCCGTAGTCCCCGGGCTGGGCCGCCTTGCCCGCACTGGCCTTAGCGCCGGTGGCCGCGGGGGCCTTGAGCTTGCCGCATTTCTTGCTGGAGCTCTTGGAGGTCTTGGCGCCGCCCGCGCCGCCGCTTGCGCCCCCGCCCGCCGCGCTCTTCTCGGGGCTCTGGCTCGCGCTGGGCTTGGCCGAGGGGTCCATTTTGGGCTTTTTCCGGGGCCGATACTTGTAGTCGGGGTAGTCGGCCATGTGCTTGAGCCGCAGCCGCTCCGCCTCCCGGATGAACGGGATCTTCTCGCTGTCCTTCAGCATTTTCCAGCGCTTGCCCAGTCTCTTGGAGATCTCGGCATTGTGCATGTCCGGAGACTGCTCCATGATCTTCCTGCGCTCAATCTTGGACCACACCATGAACGCGTTCATCGGCCGCTTTATGTGGCCAGATGCCGTCTTGCACCAGTCCGGGTCGCTCTCGTCCAGGGCCACCGGGCTGCAAGCCATGAATTCGCCCTCCTCCGTGTCCAGCGCCTCCCGGGGCAGGTTGCTCTCCGCCTCCAAGCTCTCCGCCTGCTGCACCATGATCCGCTGCGGGGCTGGGCTCTCCAACCCGGGCCACTTGGTCTCGTGCGGAGGTCCCCCTCCCCCTCCCACCCCTCCACCTTCCCCGGCAAGTTGTAAAGTCCTCGGCAGTCCGCGTCCGCGGATCCCCCCTCCCCCCCGTCCCCCCTTCCAGGCTGCACACAGCGGCTGCTGGGGCCGCCCGCGCGCTAGGGGCTACGGCTGCGATCGGAGAGGCGGTGGCGGCGGCGGCGGTCGAGGCAGCCCGGGACCCCTCTTCCCCGGCTCGTGGCTCCCGCCGCAAGCGCCGGACACCGACCACTTCCAGGCGCGCGCGCTCCTTCTGCAAAAAGTTGAGGGCTCTCTCTCAACTAGTTATCAGGGTGTCATATGGGTGACATCACTCCTCTGGCCAGCCAATGATCGGGGCCCGGCTCCGCCCATTTCCCTTTATTAACTCTGAGGTCCCACCCCTTTTACCCCGCCCTCAGGGCTGGTTTGCAAAGATGGAGGCGGGGGAGGGTAGGAGGAGACAAGTCTAAAATATGTTATTTAAAAAAAAAAAAAATCCTCGTGTGTGCACAGATGCGCCTGTCCCCGGGATGCTCTGGAGCGGTGCACCCCGCCGAGGGGAGCGGGCGGGCCCATGGCGGGTGTAGCAGGCTCATCTGGGCGCTGATGGAACACAGGGCCTAGGGTCCCTTTGTGCCCCGTCCGCTGGAGACCAGAAAGTGCCAGCATAAGGGGCGCCCTCACTCCCCGTGGGCACACACGGGGACGCGCGTTCAGCCTGCCACGGTGGGTGCAGTCCGGCTAGAGGGTCCTCTGTTCCCGGCCTGCCCCAGGTGGGTGCAGCTGCTCCCCGCGCGCCCCCCGCGGGGTTCGGCCGCTGCTTGGTGCCGCAGCCCGCGGCCCGCGCGTGGAGGCCGCTGCGCCCCCGGCCAGCGGAAGGTGGCGCTTTAACACAACAACCTTATCTCGACACGTGGGCTCTTTTCTCCTTTTCTTTCTCTTTCTAATGCAAAGAAATCAATTTAAAGCCCGAAAGGGTGTACTCTTCCCTTCCCCCTTGCATTTTGTTTTGTTTTGTTTTGTCCTTTTTCTCCGTCTGTTTTCCCTCCCCGGCAGTTCCTGGAGACGTCGCCGTGCGGGTTTGGCTGCGCCGCGCCCCCGCGCGCCCCGCCCCAGGCGGAGGCCGGAGTAACGGTCTGCGGGGTTCGGCTGGTGCCGGGTCCTCGAGTTCAATCTGGCCACTCCCAAGGCGGGTTTTGTAGTGGGTCCAGGGACCATCAGACTGCAGCAGGCCTCTCACCCCCACCGCGTGCGTCACTCGCCGAGGGGCTCGCTCTTCCCCCCATCTCGCTCTCCTCCCTGCGCCGGCCCTCCGCCCCTCCCCCACTCCCTTTTTTCTTCCCAGTCCTCCTCTTCCTCTTTGTCCTTCCTCTTTCGTCCGCCACCAACATTCTCCCCAGCAGCTTAGTCCTAAAATCTTGGGAGTTGCGAGCGAGCTAGCACCTTCCGGGTCACTTGCTATTTTAGCTGAACAACATCAAGCCAAGCTAAAATAAGGTGCATTCGAGTTTAAAGTCAACATCTTTCCGATCTGCGTGGAAAGGTGGGGTGGACCGCGGTCGGAACGGCGACCCAGCGAGCAGGTTAGATTATGTCAAGAGCCCGTGCCCCGTCAATCTTGCTGTACTACTTGGAAACCCGTTTTCCTTTGTGTTCACTGGGTCCCTGTTCCCCCCATCTTATAGGGGAATTAAAAGAAAACCGCCGCTTCCTATGGGTGTTTGCGGTCATCTTTGTCTTCCTCGGACCCCACCGCGTTGGGGGCTGGCAACTTTGAGCAATTCTGAAGATTTGCCTCCCTCCCCCAGTTGTTCGTAAGAAAGTCAGCTGCTCAGAACTAGGAGAATTACCCAAACCACTTCCTTTCAGGTGTCCTCCCGGCAAATGCTTTTCTGAACTATTGGATTTTTTTCCTGAGTACGTTTAACATAAAATGGTACAATGTTTTCTCAGATCGTTATTTTGAAAAGAAAAAATACCCCCACTTTATTTCACCACCTCCAGTATTCATCCTAAAGGAAAGTACTTGTAATATTGAAACTCGACCTAAATCTTGGTAATGCTGGCATTGTATTTGACTTTTTTTTTTTTTTTTTAGGGCCATCGTAAGGGAAAGAATTTAGTCACTCAGGTGATCTGAAGTCTGGAGATGCACGAAACCCAAGGCAGTGTGTGAAATCCATCTTCCCTCCTGCCGGGCGGGCTCGGCGTCTTGTTTTCTCTTACCTCACGCATTTCCCAGCGATTGGGAGAACCGGGGGAGAGTGGGGAGGAGCCAGCCCGAATCTCGCTTGCGTCCCCCAACTCCCCACAGATCCACCCCAGATCCAGGGCTGCAGAGCTAAGGCTCAGCTTTGTTCTTTGCATACAGAGCGTGAGGGCACCTACCGTTTTTTCAACTCACAGAGAACGCCTTGAAGATCTGGCAAATTCCATCTCTGTTTGCTGGCTTCACTCTGTAGTTGTAATCACGTTTAGGTCCAGAAAGAGAATGACGGGAGAGGAGGAGGACTGAGCAAACACTGGCTTTGCTTTCCTAAAGCTGTGATCCTCTGGGAGGAAATACAAGGTACAATCTGCCCTTTCCAATAAGAAACATGATTTCTGTTCAAAGCAAGGTGGGCCATTTGCTGGGGAAGAGAAACCCAGCCAAGGAGGTGGTTTTTCACTGTGAGAGTCCAGGGGCTGAGAATGACACACAAGTGGCTGGCTCAGAGCCTTTGAGTGAACACACTGCAGAGGCTAGGGCTGGGAAAGCCACTGCAGGTGTGTGATAAGTCAAGTTCCCTGCCATATGGCAACTTTAGAGACTTTCAGAAAAGATGAAGTAGGTTGAGATTTTGTAACATGGACCAACCATTTTACTGTTACAAAGACTTAGCAAAGATGTGGAGTAAGGAAAGAAGAAAATTAAATAGCTGGTATACTTTTGTTGTTGTTGTTCCTTAAGAAAAAATTTTAAGTGAGTACAACATTTAAAAAAAATCAAAAGAAACAGTAACAGGTTTGAAACCCTGCATGGTGCAAACAAGAACAGTATTTACTCTTAAATCCCCTGCTCCCAGATGTTTGCAACATCAGCAGGAACCAATTTCCTAAAGAAATTTTAAGCTCACAAATAGAAAATGTGGCCTTCTTCAATAATTTATCTCTTGAAAGTCTAAGTTAGTGAAATGAAAATGGCTCTCCTGTTTTTAAGGCACTGAATGTAAGTCAGGCCCAACAGTTAAACAGTTTTTTTTTTGTGTGTATGTACCTGTGTACTTATTCATAAGCAAGACAGGCGGTTTTCCTATAAAGGATGAACATTGCTGAATACATAACTAATGTTTAGCATTTTAATGCTTACGTTTGACTAGAGCCACTGTTGACTGTGCTTTCACAGTTATCGCAATCTTTTGCTGTTCATCTTCACAAACACCTTTACTCTCAAGGACTGTTACATAAGAATATAAGGTATCCTACAAAATCTCTCAAAATTATGATAATATGTGAGAATAAATATGAAAGGTTCCTTTTCTCTTTTGAAGAAGAAACACTTACCTGTGCAAATAATATTCTAACGTTATCCCTGGGTAAATATTTGACTAATTTACCCGAGCACCATTTTTAGAAGCACTTGGTTACCTGCATTTCCTTATCTCTGAAACAAAGCCATGCAACAGGACCCTGTTTCTTCGTTACCTCTTGTCCCCAAATGAGTTCTCCCACTTTTCTGTGTCCAGCTGCATCTGTGTGTCTCCAGTTCCTAAGTTTGGACCTGATTGTACTGTTTCTACGGAACATTCCCCCATTAAATGTCTCTCAGAGGTGGTAAAGAGGATAGATTGAGCACACACGTGCGTGCACACAGAGTGCAGGCTCTTCCTACGTTCTAACTCAGTGAGTACTATCCCAATCCACATGTAAATAAAAATAGAATGAAAATGAGGGCACCATGTTGTGCTTTTTCACCGCATATACTGAAACATGGAGGCTTCCAAAGCCCAAAGCTTAACGTTTTTGTCTCAAAAAATTCCACCATGGCACAGATCTGGCTCCTGCCTGACTCTGAATACCTGTCGCATCCTGCACTGGAACTTTTGCGTTTTTTTTCTAGTTACCTAGGGCTTTCTCTTCCTTGTGTTTACAGTTGGAACTCAGGGCAATCATCACAGCTTCTCCTGAGGACCTTATTTAAGGTACTAAATCCTCCCTCCCCAGCACATGCCCACAGATACACACAGGTGCACACACTACCAGAACACGCTTCAACGCCTAAATTCGTCTTGCTGATCTTTTCATTCGTTCGTTTTCTGAGTCACTCCAGTAGAGAGTCTGATCCATTAAAGTAAGATGGAAGGTGGTACAGCATGGGTCTGGGGCTTTGAAACTTATTTCACTCATGACTTACTTCACAAAACACATATTCACATCATTGCCCAGTACATTAGAGACCAAAGTGTTACTGATTGGTTTCTTCACTTGTGATGTGCAATTTACACTATTTCCTGTTCTGTTGTATTTCATTCCATTTCTTAAAATACTGGTTAAAATCCACTGAATCGCACTACTAATGAGATACCATTGAGGTATGAAAAGCACTGGCTTAGGCGTTGGGAGATAAGAACTGGGGGCATTCTGATGCCCAAAGTCCCCGCTCCCAGTCCCCTTTGGTGGATCTCACCACATTTCCTCAACTTCTAGCGACTGATGACCAAAGAGCTCCACAAATTTACTACTTCCAAAATTCATTTTTATTACTCATAGCTCACAGGAGCTGTATATTCTTTAAAAAAATAAACTATTTTCTCAGAAGTTTTAGGTTCACAAGATTGAATGGAAACTATAGAATTCCCACAAGCCATCCTCACACACACACAGTTTCAGAATCTGACACCACCTGGATACATTTGCTACAGTGATGAGTCAACAGTGACAATCTGCAGTCACCCACTGCCATAGTTTGCATTAGGGTCCTGTACTGGTGGAGTACATGTTTTGGGTTCGTTTTATATCATTTTATCATAATTATGGTG